AATTCAGTCCACTGGTTGGATCATTAGCTTCCCCAGCTTGGGCTGGGTACTGATTGGTAGTGCGATGTGAACACTGATCCATGCCCCCCAACATCCAATTACCTTAATACTGCACCTCCCCAGTGTTTTAGTTTAGCATGTTCACACTTGCTGCCAAAAGCTTCTTGACTTGGTGAAGGTTATTGTAACCGAACCACTTAAGCTCTTGGAAGAGTAAAGACTACACTCCACTATGGGCTACTACACGGTTGTAGTTCATCACTATAATGTGGTCAACAAAACAAGGAGTAAATTTCTTTCTCTAAAATGTGTGGGCTTGTATTAAAGAGTCTGTATTGGCTTCCAGGCTCGTGGCATTGATGTGCAACAGGTTTCGTTGGTTATAAATTATGACCTGCCGACCAATCGTGAAAACTACATTCACAGGTTAGTTGCTGCAGTGTTACATCATTGAATGTTTCTCCCATTTTTCACTGCTTCAGACTAAATCACAAGAACTTGCGTCCTATTTTGTACATATTTCTATCTGCATAACTTGGACAAACCCACCCACTGCTCTGGGTTTTCTTATTCCACTTGGTGGGGGGGGAGAGAGAACTGGAATAGTGTGTGTATCCAGCCATTCCAAGAAGGGCATACCTATCTAAAATATCGAACACTAAGCACTGACTGGTACAGCTGTTTCCACAACATTTCTGAAATGGGGGAGGGGCAGAGCTTCTTGGTTAGTCAATGAAACAAAGCAGTGGGAAAACTTAGATGTCTTAGTCCGTCTTAGCATTGTTACCTGATACATTCATTGCTGAGGTGTAGTCCAATTGGCATCTGCTGCTGAATTAGTACCTCCTGCAGTATATCTTGTGGAGTCTCGGATATTGCCAAAAATCAGGAACTAGACTTGGCATGAACACTGCAGTTAGAAAAGATTGTCCACCACATCTTATGGCTTTAGGCCATAGCTAATTTTTCCTGAGTTGCTGCTGCTGTTCAGCTAGTAGGCTTCCATATTAGCAACTTCAGCTGGTATAGTAAGAATATGTTGACTTCCAAGGTCTAATTGTGCTATGTTTTGTGCCTTCATTGTTTATTTCTTGGTGGTTCCTCTACAGTGGGATTCTTTCTTCTGTGGTTTTTTTTTCTGGTAGCAATTTCAGTTTTGTTTCCCTAGCTTTAGTTAAATACTTCTAGTGGCTTTGTCCTTAAATGAAGTAAATTGTACTCTGTTACTTGATGTAAAAAAATACAGGAGTCGATAGCAGCAGTTGATGACACAAGATGGTGCTCAGAAACGGCGTTGACCTAATTTAGGACGTGGATTCGTAAGCGGCACACTGTTTGAATAAAGAGCGAGTTGGTATTTATATATTTGTTTTCTTTTGTCATGATTATTCACTTTAAGTTTTGTCATGAGCCATTCTTGTGTATTTTAGCTTTTACAGAAAAGGTGTTTCACATTGTCCAGTTTTCCATGAAGGAAGGCAGAACTGTGGTGGGCTGTCAACTCACTCAAACTAATGTGGTGGTGTAATCAGTGTCTTACCTAAAACTGGTATACAAAAGCAGTGATGTTTAGGTTGGGTTTCCTTGTCAAACTGATAAGTTTTCCCACTGAAAACAGCATCTTAAATTAAAAATACTTGTTTTCACAATGAAATATGAACATTTATTGTTCTGCATTACAGAATGTAATTGGAGTACATCTGTTGCTGACTTTGATATTTTTTAGCATTCTTGAACATTTTACCTGTGCTAGGCTGATCAAGCTCTGCCCATGCTTGGGAAATGGATGAGGGTGGCTGGATGTAAGTCTCATTGCTAGCCATTTTCAAAGGTGCAAGAGTGGGTGGGTTGAAATGATTTTGCACTTCATATCACAACACCAAGAAGAGCTACACTGAGATTATTTTGCAGCACAACAGTAATCTTTCTCTACTGCTCTCTATAGGTTGGATATTTCTTAAGGTTGGCATTAACTGCTCATTTTTCTTAGCCAAATACCACTGAGTAGTATCTAGTACTGTAAATAAGGATAAACTGGCCTTTGGCAGATAAGGCCAGAAGGGACCATTGTGATAATCTAGTCTGTTGTCCTATATAATACTGGCCATAAAATGTCTCTCAAATTCCTATAGGAGGGTATCGTTTAGAAAAACACATTTTAAAAAAGTCTTCTGTTCTGTGCAGAATTGGACGAGGTGGTCGTTTTGGCAGGAAAGGTGTGGCTATAAACTTTGTTACTGAAGAGGACAAAAGAATTCTTCGGGATATTGAGACTTTCTACAATACTACAGTGGAGGAGATGCCAATGAATGTGGCTGATCTCATTTAATCCCTGGGATGAGAGCTTTTTGAATGCAGTGCTCGCTGTTGCTGAATAGGCGATTCACAACGTGCATTGTGCTTCTTTCTTTGGGGATATATTGAATCTTGTCTCAATGCTCATAACGGATCTGAAATACAGATTTTTGATAAGCAAAACGACATTTTGTCGTGAGCTCTTGTGGGGAAAGCCATTGGCTTTATCCACTTTAGGGTTAGACTGTTGGGGTTGGGTGGAAAGTCATGGGGTCTGTAAATTTTTTCTTCATTAGAAATTTATTTCCTAGTTCAGTAGAAGTGGTTGTATTAGATGTTCTTTATCATTTGATAATTTACTTATGGACTAAAAGATATAAGTGCTGTATAAAATCAGCCAATTATGTTAAACTAGCATACCTTCCTTTATTGTATGTTTTACTTATACTTTAGATTGAATTGGAAAGGCCTTTAAAATATCTACTTTTTTATAAAGAGTATTAAAATGTGTTTTTGTTTGGTATGTATTTATTCAATAAAGTATTTAATTAGTGGTAAGTGTGATCTGGACCCTGTTAAGCCCCAGCAAGCAAGCAATCATATGATTTGTCTTAGTTTGGGTTAAACCCAGTAAAATTGCCATATTGCACATGTCTTAATGAAGTTTGAATGTTAAATAAAATACTTCTATATTCACTTTCAAAGTGTAAAAGTTTTTGACTGACAGTGTCTGTCATTGAGTGGAGGTAATCATCATTTTGATCAGATTTCTAGTGTTGGGAGGAGAAATAAGATCAGCCTAAGTTTTGCATTTGAGTATAATCACCAATGCTGGTTACCCTAACCTTCCTTTCTGCAGCTACTAGAGGGCTCCATAAGTAGCCTGAGAATCAGGTTAAAGCTTTTTCTTTTCTTTAAATTACTTGCTAGTAAGTAGCTAAACATTCTAAAGACTAGTTTTTTTCCCCACTGGGGAAGAGCTCCACTGCCTATGGGTAAGTCCTAAGCTTTTCCTTCTCTGCCTCATGCAGTTAATTTGTACATCTGCAAATGCTTATTAGAGTGCATCACACTAAAATAGCTTACATAGGTATGGCTTTTAATCTCAAATTTAAATATCTTGTAATAGAGTCATCTGTTAAGTGTAGGGCTTTGCAAATGTGCAGCTACAATGTAAAACTGGTAAAACCTAGTCCAGACAAGTGCTTGTGGTTTTAAATCTTTCATTTATGGACCTCCAAATTGCAAATGGAGGTACATACCCCTTTGGAAATCTTAGGCTGTAGCCACCATGTTGTAAACCATGGGTCTCCAGCAATGACAACCTTTATGAAACCCTTATGTGGTCTGTAGACCCCAGATTGTGATGAGGTTCCTAGAGCCAAAGGCTGAGGACTTCAGCCCTTAGTTGCAGGGCTCAGGATTGCAGCTCCCCTTGCCTGGGAGCAGCTGGGCTCAGACTTCAGTTCCCCACTCCTGGGGTCTATCTTGTCAGAAGGTACTGCAGTGGAGTTTGAGAACCTCTTTTGAATGTTTCTTTAAGAGGCATATTGAATAAAACTAGCTTAACTTGCTCTACCACTGCACTATATAGTCAAATGACTGCTTGAGCAGTCAGTAAGCAAGAAGGTGATTGTAATCACAATATGGGAATCTTATTCCTTGTTGCTGCATTGCTAGTGACACTTTATGAAAACCACAAAGTTGTTTGGCATTACCTAGAGCTGTTGTCCTTTCTGTGGAATTGGGGTTTGTTACAGCCTCAAGTCCCCTTAAAGAGCTATGGGCTGCTTCTGGGTAAATGTGTAACTTACTCTCCACCTGCTCAAAGAAGCAGGGACTAATGTAGGCCCTCTGGCTGTAGAACTGTACAGGGAAGGGGAAAGAGTATACAGCAAGGTGAGAAGCTGCAGACTCAGGCATGTGGACATTGAACTTGCAAGTGTTGCAGTGATTAGCTGCAGAAGAGCTCTGTATAACCTCACAAGCACATCTCACCAGAAAAGTTCATCTAAGAAGATATTTCTTCCTCCCCCTTATGTCTCAACCATCCTGGGACTAACAGCTAAAAACACTAAGACAATTAAGGTAAAGTAGCAGCTTAAAACAAAAGCCTATTTGACTGGCTACTGAAATCAATATGGAGGGATTCTACATGTAAAAGTAGTGTAGCAACAAAATTTTGCTCAATGTTGAAAATAGTCTGATGGGAGGTTTTATAGGAGCCAAATGTTTTTGAAAATCCTACTAGTCACCTAGCTGCATCTTTAGGTGCTTACATACTTTTAAATATCCAGCCCATACTCCAGAATAAATTTTGTACACCATTGAAAGACTTAATCTACACACCAGTGCACTTAAGGAAAAGCTTTCATTTCTTTTAAAAAGGTATTCACAGACCAGAAGTACTCAAACTGTGGTCCATAGACAACCAGTGTCCATGAGCAGGTAGTTCCTTCTAAAGTACACACCTGAGCAACCACACAATAGAATGAAAAGCCACCTAATTAGTGGAGCCCCTCACACAAGTGGTGGCAGCCTTGGAAGCAATAAGAGTAGGTAGAATAAGAGGGTGGGGGGGAATTTTGGATGTGCAGGGCTGCAACTTCCCCCAGCTCCAAGGGGAGACCCACCTTCCTTCCCAGTCTCAGCTCTGCAGCAGGGGAGAGAGGGCATGTCACATTAGAAATGTAAGACTACTGCTATTAAAGTGAGTTGTGTGCTTTTATTTGTATAACTTTTATCCAAAGCACTTTACAAGAGTTAGCTAACAGTACAAACATTTGGAAATATTAAGTAGTCTGCAAAAAGAAAGTTTGAGAACCACTGATCTATATAAGCTACTTTTAGGTAGTCTCAAGGCTGTTAAATATGTAACAAAGAAGCATGTAAGGAGTTCATAAGGGTTAGAGATTTTAATATTAAAAGTATTTTATACAAGAAAATGTATAATTTCACCCCACAGAGTTATGTTTTCAAGGGGTAGGTGTCTCCAACTATTAAGGGGCATCTGTTCCCCCTCAGGTTGCAGGATTTACACCCATACACAACAGATTTGTTTAAAAAAAATAGAAGGGGTAGTTGTCTTAGTACAGGTTAAAACTAGACATATTTAAGACACTTGTTCCTGTCACTGTTGACAAACAGCTTAAGTAACATTTTAGGAGTCTGCATAGTAGAATGCAGTGACTGATGTAATTAACACCCTACTGCATCTTTAGCTGCTATGATAGTTAAATTTCCAAGACCCCCACCACTGTGAGAGGACAGCACAAACTAGACTCAATTAGTGGCATGCAGCCCTTGCTCATTCTCCATCCAGCTGTGTCTTTCAAGCCCTATGAATGATGGGGTATAGCTACAAGTGTGAAGCAGTGATTATGTCAAAATAGCAAGTGTTTGGTTCCTAAAATGATTTTTTCAGTTGTTTGGCAGTCATTATTACAAAACCAGATGTACAGATTGCAGTTGAGAGAACAGCAACATCAATAAATCACTCAGAAGATCAGAAGTGAGAAATTCAGCTGGCACAATTTCTCCCTGAAGAACTAGCCATTTTGAGTTAGCTGCTGCATCACAACAGCACAGAGACTGATCAATTGCAAGTACTCGTCTGCACCATCCGTCAAGCATTTGTCTACCTCCTGCAAATAGAGACACAAGTTATAAACAATCCCATTAAATTGGAAAGAGGTTCAGTGCTTTGAAACTGATTAAGTTGGAGAGGGAGTAGCTATTGCAAAAAGTCAGATAAGTTTTCCTGCTGAGAACTGACATTTCTACTGAGATTCGTGAAGATTTGTAGCTTAAAGTGGAGCTGCGGCTCTGTTTCCTGCACCATCCCATCATGTAGGCAACAATGGTCAGACAGAAGTTACATGCATCTTCTTGGGAATGTTTCCATGTTCTCTGCTTCATTGTTATTAACATTAGTATACAGTAGCTGGTGTTCTTGAAAAGGGTCATGGATACCGAAACAACGTATACCAGAGACCCATTGGTACAGCAGTGGGGTAGGCAGGAGGGGACACTTAGGTGGGCAGGCAATGATGGGGGAGCGATCTGGCAGCCTCTCCTCCCCCTCCAGCAGGTGGGGGGGAGGGGAGAGATAGACACTCGGGCCAGGGGCTCCTGGAAAAATGGGGGGGGGCCATGTAAAATGTGCACCCCTGCATGCCCACCCAGCACTTGCTCTGCTCCAGCCAGGGAGCAGGGTCGGGGGCTTGGAAGCCCCCTTGCCCCAACCCCACTCCCTCACAGGAGGTCTGGGCAAGCAGAGTGGGGCAAGCCCCTGACCCTGCTCCACAGCTGGAGCACCAGAGCTGGGCAAGCCCCATCTGGAGCACTGGGCAGGTGGTGTGGGGCAAGTGCTGGGTCAGGAGCAGAGCTAGGATTCCAGGAGGGTGGACCTGGATGTTAAGTGGGTGGGCCACAGCCTACCCATATCTGTGGCAGATCAGTCCCTCATCAATAGGGGAACATGTTCCGATTCACATCGGTTGGCATATCCATTGTTTGCAATTTACAGTACTGCAAACGACAGATATGCAGATCAGGATCGATGTGATTGGGAACACGTTTCTGTATTGATGAGCGATGGATATGCGAAACAGTTAGGGTTCCTGGTATATGTCTGTCTCCCTTCTCTACAAGCAACTGAACTCAAGGGATTCTCCATGAACCCTGCAACTTCAGCCCATGAACAGTGACTACTCATAAGATAAGAGTTAGCTGCTAGCACTTACAACAGTTCTGTAACAATCCTCACTGAATTTAGCAAGCACACCTCCATACATATGCCATATTGATTAAACAGCTTATCGGTCATTTCCTTTTTGGTCCAAACACCACCTTTAGTCCATTTTAGGAAGCTGTAGTTCTAGTTCACAAAGTGTTTAAATAAATGCATCTGAATAAGGAAAGGAGATTGAATTAGAACATTCAACCGGGAATTATGAAATCTGGGTTTGAATTACAGCTCTGCAGACTGATCTTTGGCATCTCATCTTTGTCTCTATGCCTCAGTTCTGAGTGCCCACTATCTGTCCTCAACTGTAGAAAGATGGTGCCTATCTCTATCAGTAGCGTTGAGAAACAACTTTTAATTTGTAAAGGTTTGAGATCTGTGGTGGAAGATGTCAAGAACCTCAGCACTTGTCCTCCCTCTTACAGCAAAGAGCTTTTTAAAAAGTTAATTGGAATCCCAGAATTTGAGTTAACAGTACCAGGGAGCTACAGTCCCCACACCTCCACAGGTGCTGCATCATCATCGACCATAGCAAGGGGAACACAGTACTTTGAGCCAGTGTTCCCTCTAATTTTTCCCCACACACATGTGGAATGAGTTTTGTTATGTGCACCAATATAGAGGTGATGTGTCACATCACCTCCATATTGGTGCACAAAATTCATGTGGTGGGGGTGGGGCTGAGGCCCAGGATGAGGGGTTTGGGGTTCAAGCTACCCTGGGGCTACAGTGGCGAGAGACTGCTCCCCCAGCTCTCCCCCCCCACAACAGCACCTGGGCTGGTGGGGAGAAGCACCTCTCCCCGCCACAGCAGCTCTGAGGCTGCAGCGTAGGTGCTTGGGTCTGGGGAGGGGTGCCCCTCCCCCAGCAAGTCCTGGCTGGGCAGCTTCCCTGAACACCTGCGTGGCACTCAGGCTGCTGTGCGGCCATGAACTCATGCAGGGTTCCCTGTTATGCAAGAGAGCAAGCCGCAACTTATGTAGTTTCCAGGGAACTGACACAGGAGTTAATCAACCCAAGGGAAGAGGCATTTGGTCCAAATCAACAAAGTTTAAAAGACATCCTTTACCTTGATCTCTTATCTATCTATTTATAGAGATATATTTCAAGAAGTGATTAGCTCAATATGTGTCTCATCAGAAGTAGTTTAGCCTTTTTATAATCAAGAAGGGGCACAAGATCTCAAGTTGCCATAACACAGGAAAGTCTCCTGTTCATTTACATTCCTTTAGAGATGGCTACCTAATTTGCACATTTATATCCTCTCAATGCGTCTAAATGCGCCAATGCCTCACCCCACGCTTTTTAGGGAAATGTACCCGTTTGACCAAATTAAGAATTCATCCACATTAACCAGTACCTCAACTTCTTTTCAGCCTAATGCAATTTGGCAAGCTCCAGACTAATGGTATACATGTAGAACATGATAGGGAATGAGACCCAAACAGCTGTGGTGCACACAGGATCAAGCCAGAGGTAAGTATTTTGGGGGAGGGGCGGGGGAAGGAAGCACCAGTACTAGTTAACTGCTGCACTAACAGATGAAGTCAAGTTAATGGAGACTTACAGCAAGCTTCTCTGCAATAACAGATTTCTGCTGGTCAGGGAGATCCTCTCGCTCAACAATATCATCATGAAGCTGGTTTATAAGCTGAGCAACAGCATACCCTTCATTTATCAGATTCTGTAACAGGGAAGAAGGAATGGAAACAAGGTAGCAGTAGTCTGAATTTAAAGCTTTTAAGTAGTAGTAATCAGTCATCAACATGTGGGTGGGGGTGAGTAATATTGAAAGTGACACTATCAAGTCATTAAGACCACTTTGAAGCTGTGACTTCTGTTAGGGAGATACATAAACTCCTGTTGATTCAATAAAGTGCAAGTTTTCAAGAAAAAGGTCCTTAAACCAAGCTGTCAAATAGTCATGAACTTTACCAACCAAGACAGAAGAGTTTATTTCATATTAATAAAAAACCCTGCAGTTTACTCAATCAACATAACATCACTTGCCCTGGGCAAGTAGAGTTTTGCAAAGCTTCCTTAACATTTCTTAACTTCATAAAAAGCACTGTTTTTAGTAAGGAGGCTATTGTCTGTGCCATATCTAATACATAAATATTGTCACAGGGTGGCAAGAAAGGGTGCTGAGCAGTGTTTCATGCAGCCAAGCAAGTAGGAGTAGTAGTTTCTGGATCAAACAGGAGAGGGGCAGTCTTGTTTTGCTGTATATGGTAAGTTATAAATAACTATACTTTAAGTACTAGATATTTAAACAAATCTGTAATATTTAGAATTTGGAGGATGGTACCACCACATTGAAATATTGCAACAGATCAAATCAGGGCCTGATTAAGACATAGGCATTACAGGGCCATGCCTAGAGTGCCATGTCCTGGAGTCACATGATTATGTCAATCCAATTTCATTACAAACTAAGTTCTAAACCTTATGGTGATAAAGGAAGCTTAGAAAAATATCGACAGTGCCTAACCAGTGCAGTGATGTTTGCACTAGCTCCCATATCTCAAGAAGAAAAAAAAACTGTTCCATGCATCTCTAAGGGTTGTTAATGCCAAGCCTCACTGTTGTGGGAGGCCATGCCACCACCACCCTAGAGGACCCTGGTAAGAGTGCAGAGGGTTTACCTACACTGCCCCTCCTGAGAGAAAAGGGGACTCCCCGCTCATACCACTGCCAGTCCTATGATACACCCTCCTCCTCTCCAGATCATGGACTGCCTAGTGACTGGGTCCCCTTTAAATGTGACTTCTACCCCAACGAAGTGCTGGGGAACTAAAATTTACTTTAAAAATATATGACCTAGCAGAGTTAGATTTTTTTTAATCTTAACCTATATCCAGATAGTTTGTTTTTTCTTCTAGTGAAGTGTATTCACTACAGTTTGCCAGCTAGGCTTACCCACAGTGTTCCATAGAGAAAATGAAAACTGAAGGCACTCTCCACAGATTAGACATTTACACCCAGCATTTCTTGTGGTACACACTGAATACTATTTCTAGACAATATGAATGAAATAGTGAGGTCTAAAAAGTGTTGGTGGTGATCAGTAGAAGAAGATGAATTTGCTGAAATCATAGATTGGACATAAGAACAGCCATATTGGGTCAGATCAAAGGTCCATCTAGCCCAGTATCCTGTCTTCAGACAGTGGCCAACACCAGGTGCATCAGAGGGAATGAACAGAACAAGTGATCCATTCCATTGCCCATTCCCAGCTTCTGGGAAACAAAGGCTCGGGACACTTCAAACCATTACCCATTTTGGTAACACAGTCTTCAGCAGACAGTGGTCTCACAGGAGATCCAAGAAGAGCTGAGTTTGCCTCACAAAAATTCTTATTCTCCACAACTGAGCAGGACACCTTCATATATTGTCAGTTTAACTCAGAAGTCCATGGTCAAGTTAGCAGGGAAAAATTTCTTGTCACCTTAAAGAAGTGCTCTCCTTCAGATCAAGGCTTAGGTCACTTGACTGATTAAGGTCAGGAAGCTTGTATTACATTTGCACCATAATTGGCCTCAGCAAATAGTCTTCGATTTCAACCTGCTAACAGGAGTGCTATTAAAGTTTATCCACTACAGCTAGCTCAGAGCCAACAGCATATCATTTTAAAACCAAAACCCCACACTTCAATTGTTTTGAATTCACACTAAAGAATGAGAGAAGACATGTGAGCAACTCTACCTTTGCTACAGTTTCCAGTTTTTCAAAAGAGCCACTTTGACAGGCAGATAGTAGTCCATCAATTGTTTCCTTAGGGACAACCTACAACAGAAGTGACATATACAAAGCATGCACATACTGTCCAGGTGTCTGGGTGCATTTACAACTTAAAGAGTTTAAAAGTTAACTGCTGACTATGCCATGACCCCAGTTCACCACCAGAACAGGTTAGCTGTAGTGTTTCTGAGTCTATACTTGTTTCCAGAACTGTCCCTACATAGATAACATGCTTCCCCACCCCCCACAAGCTTCTCCCAGGCAAAGGTTGAGCAAACAAATAGGTTTGATATTAAGATCATATGAAATGGGGAGAAGTATGCATTGATATTAGTATTTTGTTCTTGATATTAGGAACTGTGAATGATACCAAGCTATTTTAGTGTGACTACATGGGGCACCTACTTTAACAAATGGATCAGTCTTGATATATTTTTCCAGGGTCCTATGGTTTGGAACACCAAATTAGTTTCTACCATATTAAGCAGCATGGATATGTGAAAACAAGCAATTAAAATTAGCCTGAAGCAACTAGATCAATCAGCAAATCAGAAGAGAGGAGAACTGTTACAACAGATTAAGGCTGTCATTTAACTCAGAAAGCACTATTAGCTTTTTCTTTGGACACATTATTCCTGCAGCCTGAAGCCGCAAACTGTTTTCTTCACTCATGGAATTTCTTTGAAAGTCTCCAGTACCAAGGCTACCACTAGTCTGCAACAGTAACATAGGAGCAAGATCTTAACTATACTACCTAGATGCAAATTAGGTTCCTCTGATTTTTAGCAGATTATGTTGAAACTGAAGCTTTATGCTCACAAGAGCACAAACATTAATTGGAGGGTCTTTCCCTATCATTACAATATTTGATTTTCAGGTTCTTCAATTTCAACTGGATGGTATTTTGAAAGTGCAAGTTCAGCCATTTTTGCATAGCTGGAGATACAAAAAACTAATTATCTTCTATGAAGTTGACCGGAGGGAAAAAAAGATTTATTTAAACTTGACTTGAAAAACATGCCTGGAAAGCAGTTCTGTTCCCTTCCTCTCAAAAGGCAAAAATGCATGGCTCCAGAAGGGCTAGTGAAATTGTGCTAGGAGGATAGCACATATAACACAAATACCAAGTGTCCAATATGAATATCCTATTCACTTCTCAGCTCCTCTCCGCTCTTATTCTTGCTTGAGGAGATAAGTGTTATTTTGCCATAGCAACACTTTCATACTGAAATTTTAGTAATTTGGTCTTCCCTCAAGTTTCTACTGTTCCTGTCAGCATTCCCTAGCTAGTAATCCTAGAGAAAACTTAAACTGCTACAAACAAAAAGCCACACAGGTACTTACAGGGACACAGTCAGCTTGTGTAAGTTAAACAAGAACTAGAATGGTTCTTTGAGCCATTCCCCTGCAGTATTTCCAAACCAAACTTTGCAGCACTGTGCTAGTGCATGAGAACCTGAAAGTGCAATTATCTGTTCAAATGCCCAACCTAAATGATGTGCAAAAAAATAAAGTGCATAATTGATTAAAGTAATTTGTGTTTAAAAATTCAGTTTTAATAATTTAACGGTAAAAATCTAAACTTACAAGTCTTACCAAGTGAAAATACTTAATTTTTCTGTTTGTACAATATCGCTGAGTTTACTGCTAAATGCAGGCATTTGTCATTTGACAACTGTAGACTAAGAATTAAATTAATTTTCAATATTAAGTATAGTATCTTACATAAGGAACAAATTGGAGTAAAAATCAGTTACTGAAATCGTGAAGTGGCTGAACAGATTTAGGAAAGGGATGTATTGAGTAAGAGTATGAAATGTTTACATAGTCACTTTTCTGACCATAACCACAATGTCACAGGAGAAACTAAGCAAAATCATGTATCATGATAGCCTACCCCTGCAATTTCGGTGACAACCTTCTCTGAGATCTCTTTCCCACCTGTTAATCGAGTAGCACTTTGAAGAAATGTGATTGCTTTTCTTAAGTCTCCTTCTGACACTTTAACAAGACAAGATACTGCCTGAGGAATAGTGAGAAAAATGACAAATTATATTTTGTTAGTTAAAAATCGAGTACACTTTGTGGGCAAAAGTGATTTAAAAAAATATCACGTGATGCCCAAGGCTGCAGACAGAAAGTAGTATGCAGGAAGTCACAAAGCAACCTTTAACGTTTCATATAAATACCAGAGATGTATGTGCATACACTGCATTTATATTAGAAGCAGTAACAAGGATGCACTGCAGGATCGATCCTGCACTTTGCATGTAAGGTAAGCAGAATGCTGTGAAAATAAGCTCACAGTAGAAAGCAATGATCAGGAAAACCTGATCTTGTATTAATGAATAGAGGGCTGAGCACCCTGCAAGTTACTCCTGTCTTGTAGCTGAAGCAAGGGCAAAGAGGGTAATGGACAATTAAACACTTCATTTGCATGGTAGGGATCATGCTTAACACATGTCTCAGACTAGTCTCCTCCCATGCCCTAACCCGTCTCTCAAGTATAAGGGAGCTGCCGCACAAGAGGACTGAATTTTCCACTCAGTGCAAAGAAATTATACCTAATGGTTACTCATGGGCACAACAGTAAGGTTTAGTCTTCACTTGCATGTGTTGAAGAACATTCCCTGCTGCACACACTCCCCCAGAGTAGTCAAATCAAATCCAGTATCTATTCCAGACATGTTCACCTTAACCAACATTTGCTTCAATACAAGGATGTAACAAGCATGACATCAGCTGGCTGTAGAGTCACCTTGAGCAGAAAACTACTGTTGAGGAAAGAGTGCTCATTATACCAGGTAATTTGTTCTTTATATTCTAAAGTTATAGTTCTGCATTAATTTAAGTGAATTAAGAGGGTTTTCATTTTGAAGCAAGTTTATGGATGTTTCTAAACCTAGTATAGTGGAGCTATAAGTCAGATAGGAGTAGTAGTAATTCTCTGGATGTCACCTATGTTAGCTAGTATAAAAAAATTCACATGGGAAACACAAAGCTTGAATAATAAGTGAAACCTGGGATGTATTCACCAATATGCATTCATCCTGTATTTTCTATTTAAAGTTAACAACTTCATATTGATATTGTGACAATTCTAGGTTGTAACATGGCTTCACTTTAGTGGACTGAGCATAGAACCAGAAACTCAGACTGTTCTAATCCTTGTTCTGACAGACTTTTCTCTGGCCTTGGTCATTGAAACCATTACCCCATGTGTGTAGTTAGGATAATACTAAAATTAGCTCATGTACTATGTTTAGTAATAGCTATAACCAAGCAAAATGGGCATGGGTAATGCCTATTTACTCCTTTCACTGCAATGTAATTATGACCTGATAAAGCAATGAACCTATAAGTGACCATAAAACTACCTCATTGCTAACTTGCACATTTTCCTTTTCGGAAACAGCCAGTAGTCTCTGCTGTTGGATTTTATCTGTCAGGGGCTTGAAACGGAATTTGGAGCATCGAGATGTTAAAGGTTCAATTATCCTAGAAGAAAGGAGGAAGGAAAAAATATTGATGAGTCTGTGTAGAGAACTCCTCAGGAATCAGCTTAGATTACTAGAGCAGTAAAGCAAAATAGTTTCAAATTGTAACACCTTAGTGATAAAAAATGAATTGCAGATCAAACCCTTCAGATTTGTTAGATCTTTTATTTATTTCCACAGCTGGAGAGCTAACTCCTCTCAAACTACAAGTTAAACAGAAAAGTTTGCAGTAGTAGAGACAAAACCTGGGAAGGCAAAGAAAACCACACAAACCTGCTGATGTAATTACAAATAAGGCAGAAACGTGTCGTTTTTGATTCTTTCTCCATAGTGCGTCTCAAGGCTGCCTGAGCTGCTGAAGTCATAGAGTCTGCTTCATCCAGGATCACAATCTTAAAAGGAGGACAAACCTTACCACTAAAAAAATAAATGCCCATCATCCAATTAAAACAGAGTTCATTGTTTTCAAGTATATGTGCATTAATATTTAAAAGTCAAAGCTTGTTGCACAGTACTACCACTATCTATAGGTAATATTAAAAGAGCAGAAGTAAAACGGTATGTATTACCTTTTGCTTATCTACCATTTGCCAAAGGACTAGCAGTTATAGGAAGGGCAATTAATATTTTCACATTTCTTATCTCCAAGCCTTACACTTGAGAACACTGCAAGATTCCTCTGCTAAAATTCTTATTCATGCTTTCAATTAATTCCTTCTTTTGCAGGCTTCCTTAATCCCTGCAGGATCTTCTACAATTTAGAAATTACAAGGGCAGGTTTATCTCAGTACATGAGATAGACGATTTCTCCTTCCAGCTAGTCTTGGGCTTCTGTTACCTCTAGTTAATCACTCTTCTGCTCCCTCATCCATATGGGCCTCTCCCTAGCCCCAGAATCTCCATAACCAATTATCAACTGATAGAGATTTTGTATGATACACATTGTGTTATGGACACTAGATAGAGGTGTGGGTTTTTTTTTTTAAATCACAAGCTATGAAATTTGTTCCTACACTAGCTATTCACTCATTCAACATTTGCTGTCACATGTAGATTTGGTAATTCAGTGCAAGACTAGATTTTTTGGAATTGCATCCGGTATCCATACAAATTCTCCCCAGTGACTTTACAGCAAGTTGCACATGGATGAGAAGGGGAAGACCCTTTGGCCTGCAGTTTTGCTCTAACTTCAGTTATTCCATACTGACTCAAAGCTTAACTCTGCAATTAAAATTAACCTAAATGAATCTATGACACCCTTCATTGAGAAATACAATCCATCAGATAGTTGGCTTTGATCTCTTGCTTACTCTGAACGACTTCCAGACACAGTTAGCTGAGCAAATATCTTCACTTTCTCTCGAATCACTTGTATTCCACGTTCATCAGAAGCATTTAACTCAAGAACTCTCTGTCGGAACAATTCAGGTCTGTGAAGAGTTCAAAACATGTTACATGAGCTTCTAACACTTGTAATGCCTTATTACAAGTAAGTGACTTGATTACAGTCTAAGCATCTACATGGGGAACAAATATTTAATAATAGGCTCTTCAATCCAGCAAAGAAAGGTATAACACAATCTAATGGCTGGAAGTTGAAGCTAGACAAACTCAGACTGGAAATAAGGTATACATTTTTAATGGGGAGAGTAATCACAGGAACAATTTACCAAGGGTTGTGGTGGATTTTCCATCACTGACAATTTTTAAATCAAGATTGGATGTTCTTCTAAAGAGAATGCTCTAACAATTATTTTGGAGAAGAAGTTCTATGGCCTGTGTTATACAGGACGTCAGACTAGATGATCACAGTGGTCTCTTCTGGCATTAGAATCTATAAATTATCCAGTAACCATTCAGGTTTGTGAGGATTTTAATCTGTAGTATTATTAATGCTGCTTTACAGTAACTATCCTGCTAACGGCAGAGCCTATGTTAAGAGTTCATTAAAATTCTGGTCCTGTAAAAGTCTAGAATTCCATAGTCTAGTTTATACAGAGGGCTTCTGATTTTCAGTTTTAACAAACACCAATAAACTCCCCCAATATAAAATATGAAATTGTGTTTACACAGTAAACACCAAAAAACATCTGAAACCATCATCTGTGTCTAAGGTCTCATCTATATGCAGCAGTAATGAGGACTGGGGTTGTGACTTCCAAAGCACACTAATGTGTTACGCATTAGTCAGTCTGTGTAGACCCTGCTGGTGCGCACTAAACGTTCCCTAGTGCGCTTTAACATAATGGAGTTTGAAACAGTACTACATTAAAGTGCACTAGGAATCATTACAAAGGTTGTTCGTTACAGAATATATAAAGAGACCCAAAGAGATCTGTGCTTTTTGGACATCTACATAAAACTCAAATTGCTAATAAACCCCAAAAATCTGAAAACAGAAGCCCTATTTATACCAAATACCTTGTCCCCTACACTATGGAAAAATTGAAACATGAAGTCACACCACTGCTCCAGGCAAAAACATTGAGAGAGCATTCAAGGTCAAGGACACTTGATTTTTCTGTGCTATGTCTATTTCCTCAAATATTCTGTAAATCAAGTTGTACAGTAACTTGTAAAATCCTCTGTTGCAGCCACCAACAGTGCTCTGCAGTTGTCATGCTTCCAGGAGCTATGCTGCTAGAAGACTTAATTTGATACAGAAAGTGCAGCTAAAACAGGACATCAGTCACAACAGGCCATTTTAGCCAAGATCGATCAACAGTTGTAAGGTTGCAGAACCTGAAACATCTATGCTTCAGAGAGAAAAAAGAAAAAGGAGTACTTGTGGCACCTTAGAGACTAACCAATTTATTTGAGCATGAGTTTTGGTGAGCTACAGCTCACTTCATCGGATGCATACCGTGGAAACTGCAGAAGACAATATTACACACAGAGACTAACACAGCTGTTACTCTGAAAACTGTCATTATGCTTCAGAGAGGAGTTTGAATACTAATTAGGAGTTTTCTTCCTAGTGTTAATTTAGATTGGTAGTTCTTTCTCCTCCTACACCACAGAATTTGGATAAGTAAAAAGAAGAACAAAAGATGCTATGTAACTCACAAGAAGTCAAACCAGCTAAGATTCCTGTGGCATTAGATTTGAATGCAGGTCAGCCAAGCCTCTTATTTTAGAATCATAGAATATCAGGGTTGGAAGGGACCTCAGGAGGTCATCTAGTCCAACCCCCTGCTCAAAAGCAGGACCCATCCCCAATTAAATCATCCCAGCCAGGGCTTTGTCAAGCCTGACCTTAAAAACTTCTAAGGAAGGAGATTCCACCACCCCCCTAGTGAAAAAGTTTTTCCTAATATCCAACCTAAACCTCCCCCACCGCAACTTGAGTTATAACCCTTTCAAAAAAATCACACAAAAGCCACAAAAAAGGAATCAATTAATGCACACAGAATTTAAGGAAAAATAGAACATGCTGTATTATCTACTATATCACAAGTTTTTAAAAAGTGGTCAAAAGCAATTGCCCTCCTCCTCTTCCCCACTCTCAGATCCTTCCCATAGTCACCCCATTAAGAGTTTAGCTCAATAAAAGTTTCACAACACCCTACGAGGTAGGTAGGGAAGGGAAGACAACTGTGGTCCAGTGACTGGGAATCAGTAGACCTGGGTTCTATTTCTACCTTAGACTCCCAGGGAAGCCACAGCCTGCACCTTAGTTTCCCCAACAGTATAATGGCAAGAATGATATTTATCCATTTTTGTTAAGTGCATTGAGATCTACAGATAAAATGCACTACAAGTTCAAATACTAAGATTTTTGTTTATCTTTGTGTAAACATTAAAAACAATATCAATCTTCAGTTTTACTAGGGTTTATAAGAATGTTAAATCAGAAAACAAAATGAAGAAACCACCTAGGTTCACCATTGCTGAAGGGGCATGGTTGCATGATTTGAATCACAGCACTGACTGAGGCTTCATCAATAGACAGCATAGTCAGAGTCCAATGACATGATCAGACAGTAGAAAAACCCTGGTGTGAACACAAAGTGGTGTAACAGACAAGTACACAGATATCAGAAAATCTTTCAAAGGTGAGGAGGATTTCCAGACAGAAATGGATCACCACAAAAACTCCCATCCCTGCTCTCTCCCTTAATATAGCATCAGATGTTTTACTTAAGTGGTTTAGTGTTAAATGTAATATTGTGGGGAGGGAAATCTGTTATCACCAAGAAATACAAGTTTGGAATACACAAGCAACAAAGAGAAGGCTCAACTCAATATTAGATTCTTATAGACTAGAACACCACAAAAATTGGAGCAGGTAGTGACTAAAAGGGTCACAGGGTGGCAAGCTTTTGGAACACTTAGTAAATACAGTTAGATTCCAACTTACCCATAGAGTTCTCTGGCTAATGCCAAAATAGTGGAAGTCTTTCCAGTTCCAGGTGGGCCATAAAACAAGAGATTGGGAAGCTGTAGTAGCAGAAAAGGATGTTTTACAGCACAAGTTATTAATTCAAAATATTTAATGTATAGAAATTTTACTTCACCCTTTACGCTCTATTGGGAGTTCAATAGTAGAGCGAGAGAAAAGGGACTGGATGCCTGTGCAATACAAAGGCTTTCAACATCTAGGTCATTAGGTACTGTAGCTAACAGTCAAAAGAACGCAAGCCAACCCATTAGTGATAAGGATATGTGAACAAGTTGGCATTTTATGATACTAACACATGTTCTATCAAAAGTGATACCCTCCTGAGTGAGGGTACTTGGATACAGTGTCTTCAGGTCAGGATTGAGGCACACTGCTATGACAGCATGGGGGAGGTTTGCAATGGCTCTACCTGGAATGTACATGCGCTGCTTGTTTTATGCACTTACGCATTTTTTTTTTTGCCCTAGGACAGAAGAGTCCCTTCCAACCCATAACAAAAAAAAAAGGGCTGAGCTTCTCAGTCAGACTTGATATTTATAGTCGCAAATACATTTTTTTTTAAAAAGATAGATGCTTTGTAAAAAGGACATCTATTCCACAGAAGTAAAATGTTTAATTGTTAAAAGATAGATTAGATAGTCCCATAATTAAAGTACATATCAAGCGTTCTATGTTATAATAGATTTGCATACAGTAAAACCATGTATTTAAATATAGATATTTATATAAAGCTTCAAGTGCTTAAGTGTATATGAAAAACACTGAACTGAATTTATAGGTTGAATTCAGATGTCATGTTAAAACTTTTTAGGAGGGGACGCCTTTTTAAAGAGAAAGTAAATTTTTATATACAAATAAAACTGAGTGTGAAACATGTAAACCCTCGTCTCCTCTAAAAAGGGACACTGTCTAGAAGTTATGCCTTTGATGGAATCCAAAGGTTATACATAATTACTTAGTATGTATTGTGTTTAACAGCTTAAGTTTAGGCCAAATTTAAGACTAAACACCCTTTTTATATATTTGATCATCTACCATAATTGTCAACATCCTCCAGAATGTTTTAGGATTGTACTGAGAAGGGGAAACATTGTGAGTGTTAGTTCTCATAAGTGAATGACTGAAGACAAGAGCACTGTATTGGCAGTCAGACACACTGCAGACCTTTGTGTTGGAGACATACACAGTAATTTGACCCAAAAATCACTAATCCACTCTCTGCTAGTCCTGTGAATAGGCTTTAGTAAGAGTTTTAATGAGATTCCACGTTTTACTAATTCCACTTAAATACACTAAATCCATACTCTAGACTGTTTGTGCTTCAGTTTCACATCAAAATTATCACCAGCATTTACACTGCTGCCTTACAAAGTATATCCTAATCCTTTATATAACGTAGTGGCAGTATTTTTGGCAGAACTGTAACCTGATCCAGCCACGCAGGTTTCAGCACTTGCCAGTAGTAAGCTATGATACCTGTAGGAATCTTATCTGGATTATGGGATGGTTACAGCTACTGGCAAATTACATATCATAATGCAAATCCTAAATCAGTTTCAGAAAGTTTGACACACAGCACATTCTCAAAAGCTGGACAAGAGGAGATGAAAACTGAAACGGCAGCTCTACAATGAGCCTTCTAATATGCAGTCTCCAGAGACCCAGTTAGAGCACTGAGCATGCCAGATTATTATGGTTTACATTATTTATTCTTACCCACGCCAGGCACTGCAATGATGACAAAGAAACTACTCAAGTCCTTGAAGACAGAAACAAAGTTCATACACTACAACTAGTTAGGCTCAGCCCTCTGCATGTCATTATAAACTGAGGTTGCTGGGAGGGTCTGACTTAGCTCCCAAATGCCTTCAGGGACCACTGGTGGTCTATGAAGTGCTGGCTATTCACATGGCGCCAGTTTGCATTACCTAAAAACCACCTTATATCCGGGAAGTAGTCAACTTTACCACAGATTATGTTATGAGACAGCAGATGGGAGGGGAAGTGGCCTACAAAACCATTTTGTTATTTAGACATAGTCCACATTAAGTTTAAGGACTCCTGATCTAGTTATTCTTGGTATCCGCCACATAGCAGTACTGACTGGCAGCATGGGATGGAGAGAGTAACAGCCGTTTGTGGCCAGGAAAGTCATTTGAGAGGCATACCTCCAAATTCACTGGGATCCAGTCTGGAACAAACATCAGCAGTCTTAGGCTTTGGTTTAAATAATTCAGAAGAGTCTTTTATTGCAGTGTTAGATCTTTGCTTATTTTAGATATGTGAACTGCCAAGTTGTGTTAATTCTTAAACTAAAGCTACTTAAATGATTTTGCCCTCTAATGGTTTACTGGTTTTGAGCAGTGTAACTACAACAAAATATAAAACCTATAACTATAAATAGGAGTTATACTTCAGCCTTTCAACACTGATGTACTAGGATCATAATCCCAGAAACCTAGCTGGTCAAAGAGCCATAAAATATTTAAATAGCTTTGCTCAAAATAGAACTGCCCAACCACCACCTAAGTAACATTATGCACTGCAGTATCACTATTATAACAAGTAGTGAAAGCATTTCACTTCTCACTGACATTAATAGGTCCTAAATATACTCAATACAATTGTAATGTTATTAAAATATGGTAGAATTGCTACTAGATTTTAAGAGCATTAGCTATACTGACCTGACAGTATGAGTTACTGGCATATATTAAAGAACTTACTTTTTTAATCTATTACACTGGTTTTACACAATTGTAAAACAAATTAAGCAGCACAAAGTTTACAATTTATGTATTTATTTTCAAAAAATAGGATGTCACGTGTGACAGATTAAATTGATAATTTCAGAAATATTTATAAAATTGGCCAAGAATGGAATTCTAGACAAAGGGGATATAAAAGCTTTCACCCTCCACATTGCCAATTCAAGTAGCATGTAAGGGAAAAATCATTCAAAACCTTTTTGAAAAAAATACAGAAAACTTATTTTATTCAGTATAATTCCTAGTGAATATGTCCACATCATAAAAGACAACTTCAAACCAATATATCTGTCAGATCATTAGTGGATCATGAAAATGAAATTATCCTCTCAGTTCTAAGTGATCTTTATCTAGAACTTCACTGAGGCAGAAAAAGGTTGTCTGTGTGGGGAGGAGGAGACTATCCCAGATCCAAAGCCCAGACATACAGCCCCCTGCTGGCTACATTTTCATATTCCTTTTACTTGTTTCCTCAAACACCAGGTAGAAGAAAAATGGCAACTGTTCATATAGATCACAGCATTTTGTAGCTAACCCCAGCAATGCGACAGACATGCAAATTAAAAGTACTCTTCACAGCACCTTACAAGTTACTTCTGTTTAACTACTTGTGTTTTAAAAGAAACACCCTCAAGAACTGCTCTCTCTGTTCTCACAATTTATTTTATATCTACACTTCACTAAGATGTCAATACCTTTAAGCTTCCTTTGCTATTTAAGTGGTTTTAGTAAAACTGTACTTAATGCTTCTAAGGAAGGCTAATAAATTAAAAATTATTAGAAGTCCATTCATAAAAGTTTACTTAAACAAAAAAAACCCTGTTTTTCCCTCTGCAGCAAATTTTCAAAGTTTAACATGCAAAAGTACAGACTATAGCTAGGTAAGAACATCAAGGTAGCTGTGGTTCTTCCAATCTTGTAGGATTATGACAACAGAAACTGAAGGGAGAGCACCAATCAGTAAAGCTTCCAAGTTACACAATAGAGATACTGATTTTAGAATTGCTAGAAAGCTGGAAATGTCAGAAACACAGAATCATAGAAATGTAGGGCTGGAAAGGACCTCAAGAAGCCATCATAATTAGAAAGTTTTTTCTTAATATCTAACCTAAATCTCCCTTGCTGCAGGTTAAAACCATTACTTCTTGTCCTGTCTTCACTGGACATGGAAAACATTGATCACAATCCTCTTTGTAATACTGGAAGACTTATCAGGTCCCCCCTCAGTCTTCTTTTCTTAAGACTAAATATGCCCTTTTTTTTAAACCTTTCCTCATAGGTCAGCTTTTCTAAACCTTTTATCATTTTTGTTGCTCTCCTCTGGACTCTTTCCAATTCATCCACATCTTTCCAGCTGGCACCTCACTGGCGCTGAGTACAGCAGGACAATTACCTCCTGCGTCTTACATACAACAATCCTGTTAGTACACCCCAGAATCCTATTAGCCTTTTAGGCAGCTGCATCACATTGACATTCATACTCAGTTTGTGGTCCACTATAATTCCCAGATCCATTTCAGCAGTCCTACCACTTAGTCAGATATTCCCCATTTTGTAGCTGTGCATTTGATTTTTCCTTGTTAAGTGAAGTATTTTGCATTTGTCTTTATTGAATTTCACCTTGTTTAATTCAGATCAATTCTTCAATTTGTCAATGTCATTTTTAACTTTAAATCAATGCTCCAAAGTGCTTGCAACCCCTCCCAGCTTGGTGATATCCTCAAATTTTAAAAGCGTACTCTACTTCAGTGGTTCTCAAACTTTTTGTATTGGTGACCCCTTTCACACAGCAAGCCTCTGAGTGCAACCTCCCCTGCGCATGGTGGGGCTGGGACTGTCACCCCACTAGATACGCTCTCCCAATTTTACAGCAAGCTATTGGTAACCACCCTGAGTACGAAACTCATAAGTCAGCAGCACATAAAGCTAGTTCTCTGCTGCTACAGAACCATCAGAATTTCTTGAACATGCTATGATTGATTAAATGTCTTTGTTGCACTCACATCAGCTCCCTCTAAGGATTTTTTCAGCACAGCAACAACTTCCTCTTGGAATGCAACTTCATCCACACACTTCGGACGACTAGATGAAAACACAGTGAAGTGTATTTTAGTATCTACTAAAAATTCTCAGTATCACTTTCACCCAAAAAAGAATGTTTTCCTTATAGGTTTCGGGGGGGGGGGGGGGGGGGGGGAGGAAGAAAGATTATGAAAAGCTTTGTAACAGAGTGACTGGGCAATTTTGTGCAATGCCTCTAAACTGCATAATATCTTGCACAAAAATGCTCAAGTCACCCAGTTTCTCAGGAAGATGCCAGTCTATCTATACTGTAAACAGAAGTACTTTCCGAAGCACAACTACAATTTAGAGTCTAGAACAGCTTTGCTGCTTGAAAGGCTGGTGCCAAAATCTTATTAGAAAACATTGAATAGTTTGTGTCTTGATAAAATGCAGTTACGATCAGAGTAACACAAGTGCATATGCAAAGGCATCAAAGGCGCTGAGAAAACCTTTTACCCGATCACCACTGCACAGACATACACCTGCAGGTAGGCAAGGTGGATTCTACCTAGTTAGTAATTTACATTCTGAGGGAAATTTGAGAGGCACAGAGACCTGGGCTCAATTTTCAACTTGCAACACTGACGGGGAGTGGGGGTGGGGGAGAGCACCATTTAAGTTCTACACGGAGGAAGATTTTCCCATGAATGTCAGTGGAAGAATAAGACCAGAGTCCCAGTTTTTTTCCAGTCCTCCCCCCCCCCCAGAAGTGCAGCTACCTCATGGCTCCATTCCGCCATACTCAATACAGCCGCTCTAGTGCGGCTACACACTCTGCGACGCACACTTCGGGTGCCCCTTCCACCCCACCCCCCTCAGGCAGAAATCACTCACGGCCCTGCTGCAGTCTAGACACCCTTCGCTCGCAGCAGCTGCTCCGGATCAGGACCCCCCCCCCCACTCCCGCCCTCCGCCGAAGGGCGCTTACTACTTCTCCACCCAAGGGATGGGTTTGAGCCGCTTGCCCTCGCCGCTGCCTCCCGCGGCGGCAGCCGCGCCTCGCTCCTTGGACGCCGGCGCTCTGGTGCTGATGGCGGACGGGCCTTTCAGAAACGCCTGCATGGCTGCTGCGCCTTGTCACCCTGCAGGGAGAGCCCCACACACTTCGCGTCACCCCCCCACACACAGCCCCCCACCCCCCAGAGCAGCGCCCCCGAGCCCCGCCCTGAGGAGATGGGCGGGAAGAAGAGGCTGCGCACAGGCTGAAGGCGGGGGAAGGGTGGGCACCCCCACCACCCGGGGGGGGGGACGACAGACCCCGGGCCCACCCCTGCCCCTCGGAGTCCCCTCCCAGGAGGGAGGGCGGCCGCGACAAGCTCAGCTCAGCCCCCCCCACCCCCGGCATCCCTCGCCCACACCAGTAACCGGCCCGCGGGAGCGGGACCTACCCCCTCAGCAACAGCCGCCCGCCAACTCCCGCCAACCCGCTCTTTTTTTTAATGCGTGGGCGGGGCCGCTTCCGCTTCCGCCTGGGAGGACGGGCCCGAGACTGCCGGGAAGAGTCACCATCGGCGCCCCGGGTTATTGGTTATGGGCGACGCAGACACGTCACGTGATTGGATGGCCTCAGGCCCTGCCCCGATTGCCCTCAACCAACATGGCGGCGGGCAGCGGCGGCGCCTGCGGTGCGCATGCGCGCAGCGCCAAGCTTACTAAATATGGCGGCTCAGGCTCAGGGGTGGCGGGGGAGGTGTTGCGTCTTTGCGTGAAAGGAGACGCTGCGGAGATGGCGTGGCGGGCGTTGGGGTTCGGTCTCCTTCGTGTTTGTAGCGCCCTGTCAGGCGTGTGCCTGCCGCCTGAGCGCACTGGGGAGCGGCTGCAGGGCGTAACACGGGGAAGGGGAAAGAGGTGGGAGACCCACGGGGTTCACTGCCCGCCTCCACCGGGTGTGACCGGGGGCAAGGCGGCGGCGCTAGCCCCTCTGTGCCCCATGCGTACAGCGGGGGTCACGCTGCTTCCCTGCCTCCCGGCCAGTTGGGAGGGTACAGGGGTACACTGAAGAGCGGGAAGCGCCTGCAGAGCCGCTGAGGAAAAGCGATGGAATGGAAATATGCAGCGTGGTTAGGGAGAGACACCAGCATCAGTAGCTTATGCTCAAATAAATGGGTTAGTCTCTAAGGTGCCACAAGTCCTCCTTTTCTTTTTGCGAATACAGACTAACACGGCTGCTACTCTGAAACCTGCTAGACACTAAAAAACATGCCCTGAGCGGAGACTCTGGATTTGTGGCACATCACAACAATCTGTAACCCACTTACCCCTTTTTTGGCACGATGACTGCAGAGGTGTTCATGCCTCGCATGGTCCCTTTGAATACGTGCCAACTACTTACGCTAAACAGTCGGCTGCGCCATTCGTTTAGCTGTGATGCAGGGAGTACCTTTCCCAGACCCGAAGAAGAGCTCTCTGTGGCTCAGAAGTTTGTCTCTCTCACCAACAGATGTTGATCCAATAAAAGATATTACGTCACCCACCTCGTTTCTCGAATATTTTCATTATGTCATAGCATAATGTGGGCTTGAACCTGTGTGTCATGCTGCAGACCCACTGGGGCATGGCCTCATCATGGCATGTGGAGAGAAAATGCCCTTCTAGGGGAAGCTGGGCCCACTACAGCCCCAAGTAGGACCATGTCCTTTCAGTGGCATGCTGGGTGGCATTGCACAGGAGTGGGCCTTTGCTGTAACATGATGGCATTGCCATGATGGGGCCATGCCCCAGTGGGTCTGCAGCATAACACACAGGTTCACACCCGCATTATGCTATGACATTGCCATCCAGGCCTCCTTGGCACAAAGGGACACTTCTGCATGGTACTAGGATCTTGCCACAGAATGGTGGTGCATCCTCCTGTAATGTACGGATAAGGCTAGGCTTGTGATTAATTGTTTTTCCATTGGGAGCACATTTCAAAAGTGGGGGCCTGCTATGGAGAAAGTAGTATTGTGCATTGCATCCTGTACCGGGGATCCTGTTTTGATGGGCACTATGCAAGCATTTGTAATAAACAGATTATCAAAATTTACCATGAGTGGAATGTCATTTTTTGCACAGTTTCCTATGAAAAAAACAACTCTAATTTTGATTAAGAATGGTGATCTCTCTTGTAAATATAAAATAAAAAATGTAAACAAAGACTGCAACTACAATGGGGATGAAATGCTCTTTTTTACAACAGGACGCTATTAACTTGAAATACTGTCCATTTAAAAAAAGTGAGCTAAAATGTATATTAGATCTTATGCCTGGACTTGTGTGCCTCTGATTATGCGTGATTTGACAATCATTTATTTTTAAAACATTTCTTCTGTACTGCTGCTCTGTGAAAGACCCACATAGATAACAGTGAAAACTCATTGACAGATTATACACAAAATGCTACCAAATGCACAAAGCAAACTGACAATTTAAAAAAAAAATCATTTCTAGTAATCTGAAAGTACAACTAAATTAGGAGGAAAACTTATCAGACAAACAATTTGTAAATTGATTATGGCAGTGCCCCTTTAAGGAAAAAATGCATCCCAGCATGCTTGTTAGTCATTCCATATGCCCACATTTTGGTGCTATTGATGGCTACATTTTATGCTTCCATTTATCTCAGCTGTGCATATATTGATCGAACAATGCAGCTGTTACTTATTGATTAGCTCACAGGCTGTGATATATTATACCTAGAGAGTCAGTTGCTGTTATAATTGGCTTTAAGGCTGATTGCAGATGTATTGTTTTACTACTCACACCAAGACATTGCTGAAAACAAGGCACAAGACAGCAAGTGGCCTGGATGGCAACAAGAGTAATCATTCGGAATTGGAACTGTACAAAGGAGGAAAGTAGACCTGGAAACAGTTTCTATGGCAACTAAAAACAGTTATTAGAAACGACACTGCAGGAAAGACATTAAACTGAAAGTGTGTTATTCTACTGAGGAAAAAAGGCTAGAATTTTGTTTGGGCAATTTGAAATACACCTCTACCCCGATATAACGCAACCGATATAACACGAATTCGGATATAACGCGGTAAAGCAGTGCTCCGAGGTGGTGGGGCTGCGCGCTCCGGTGGATCAAAGCAAGTTCGATATAATGTGGTTTCACCTATAATGCGGTAAGATTTTTTTGGCTTCCGAGGACAGTGTTATATCGGGGTAGAGGTGTAAATCGTTTCCTGTTATCTGGCACAGTAGCTACATCCACTATTAAATCAGTTGAAATTCAGATCACAGCCTTGCTAACAACAGATATTCATATTTGTAACAATTGAAGCTGCTTGGTGCTATTGAGCTGGTTAACATTGTTCTCTTTTTTTTTCTAATAGTAAAGATAGTGTTGTTTATACCCTCTGTATGGGGATTATATTTGGTACTTTGACACTATGGTAAAAGCACCTTAAAAATGCCCAAGATACATAAAGAATTTACTACATTCAAAGAGTTTTATTTCTGTAACAATATGAAATTGCATTTATTTTGCACCTACCTGCATGATCTCTTTAGCTGTACACCATCCACTCTACTCAATGGGGCCACTTCACACATTCCAGTTTTATGGACTAGATGAACCTCAGGTTTGATACAACATGGCAATTCCTACATTCCTATATAACAAAAATAAACAGAACCCTGACCCCAAACCGTTCCCTTTCCCCCTTTGCTATGGATCAGGAATTGAAAATAACTTTTGCTACATTCTGTCTTGGACCTGTGACCATCTTAAGGTCCAGAGTTAAAGATGAGAGCTGACTCCTAGGATTTCCAGTGATATAGACAACATTTTTATCTAGTCCTATCAGCACACAAGAGAGGGTAGGCCTTACATATAACTGTAACACCCAGATGCATAGAAAAGCTAGGTTAGATGATTTTTAAATTCTAATCATTTTGTCAATTTCCAGAATGTGCTGGACTTGTTCACTAAGGCACTATATATGTGTGTTCAATTCTCTAAATGGCCCACCTTGATTATCATACACATTGTAAGGAGAGTGATCACTTTAGATAAGCTATTACCAGCAGGAGAGTGGGGTGGGGGGAGAGAAAACCTTTTGTAGTGGTAAACACCCATTTTTTCATGCTTTGTGTGTATAAAAAGATCTCTATACTTTCCATAGTATGCATCTGATGAAGTGAGCTGTAGCTCACGAAAGCTTATGCTCAAATAAATTGGTTAGTCTCTAAGGTGCCACAAGTACTCCTTTTCTTTTTGTGAATACAGACTAACACAGCTGTTACTCTGAAACAATTCTCTAAGATGTGGCATAAACAGAATACATTATGGTGTGATGTGGCATAAAAGTTTCATTGGTGTTCAGTAGGGATGATCAATCAGTCACGTGTGGCCTTAACCCTTGAGATTGCAGCCATTCCAAACTCATCCCAATCAAACCTATATCCCACACCACATATACATATTTACAAAGACATGTAAAACAATGAGGTAGTGAGCACCAAGGAATTGATGTGGATTGTGTGCCTGAATAGACAGCCAAACACAACTGAAGGCAACCTTCACACCACCCTGGCTCTCCAGCCATTTCTGATATGCCAGTAACTTCCAAACACTTGTACTTACCCAATCATTCCTGACAGCCCCAGCTATCCTCCCTGCCTTTTCCTCTTTTTATACCACCTGGGTTGGTCTCCTGATGGGCTCATAAGCTGTAGCTGTCTCTGGCCTTTGTCTTTTAATCCTTATCTCTACAAAGAGAGGCCAAGCCAGGAAGTCTGGTCTCCCTCCTGAGTCTCAGTCACATTTACCTTCAGGTGGTGGATGCAGCACTAATCCAATCAGCACAAAAGAGACTTTAGGACAGTCACAACCTATAGGTACCTTCTTTAGGGCTATCACCTGTTACATCTGAGAGGAGGGATGGTCTGGGTGCTGACACTTGGGAGACGGGTGTTAAGTCCCCTGCCCTGCCACAGACTTCCTGGGTGACTTTGGGCAAGACACGCAGCCTCTCCGTGCTTCAGTTACAAATGGGGATAATATCGTGTCCCTACCTCACATGGGCACTGTGAAGATAACCACATTCAAGATAGTGAGGTGTCCAGGTTATGGGGGCTATACGACTACCTAAGATAAACAGTACAATGGGTGTGCCTTTAGGACTCAACCTGGCCCTTAAAATTAAAGGGACACTGTCCTATAGTTTTGCCCAAAATTCAGGCTTTGTCTAAAAAGAGGGAAAGAGATGAGGGTGGGGGTTTTGAAAAACTGAAGGTGAATAAAAAGGTTTGTATAGAATTAAAAAATAACTTTAATAGAAAACAGGTTTATTTAGATTTTAGGTTTTCAGTGCTGAAAACCAGGATTTTTCAGCAATATGGTAGTTCACGAGACCAGACAGTGATACTGACCAGTCACTTTTCAATGGCCAAGCAGCGGGAAGAGCAAACAGTGAATGAATGGGACACACAGTGGTGAAAAGTATTGTTATGCTGGCAGTTTGATGAAACCTCATGTAAGCTGGTTGGCCTAATAGCTGTCTTT